ATGAAATCTCTGGCGAAGAAGTGGTCAGCGTACGTCAGACAGATTGACCTCGATGTCAGACGGACATTCAGAGGTCACTGCATGTTCATGGCTAGATACAGTCTCAAGTTAGTTGGCTGAATGGCTGGTCACTTGGTCAGTTGCTGGTCGATCCATCAATTTGTCCATTTGTTCATTTCTTTATGTCGTGATTTTATGGTAAAGTGCTGTCTCGAATCCATAAATTGATTGGCCGGTTGGTTGGATGTCATCCATCCATCCATCCATCCATCCATCCATCCATCCATCCATCCATCCATCCATCCATCCATCCATCCATCCATTTTTACGTCCATCATACGTTCATTCATTCAATCATTTACACATTTGTTCATTTATTTTTTCATTAAGTAATTCATCCACTCATTCATTCGTTCATTCATTCATTCATTCATCATTCATTTATTAACTCATTAAGAATTCATCCACTCATTTCATCATTCATTCATTCACTCACTCACTCACTCACTCGCTCACTCACTCACTCATTCATTCACTCATTTATTCATTCATTCATTCACCATTCATTCATTCAGGCAGCAAGCTCTGTTCAACGTCCTCCTGGCTTATTCCCTGTACGACGAGCAGGTTGGCTACTGCCAGGGTATGAGTGAGGTCGTCGCCCTGCTACTCATGTACCTCAATGAAGAGGTAGTTGTTGCTGTCGTTTCTGTTGTTGTTGTTGTGTTGGTAGTGGTGTTGCTGTTGTTGTGGTGTTATTGTTGTGTTGGTAGTGGCGTTGTTGTTGTGTTGGTAGTGGTGTTGTTGTTTTGTTGTTGTTTGTGTTGTGTTGTGTTGTTGTGGTGTTTTGTTGTGTTGTTGTTGTGTTGTTGCGTTGTGTTGTTGTTGTTGATGAAGGATTAACTGAATGAATGAACGATTGAATGAATGAACGAAGGAACGAATTCATAAATACATGAATACGTTAGTGAATACACGAATAAAGGAACAAATGAATGAATAAACAAACGAATAAATGAAAGAATGAATGAATGAACGAACGAATAAATGAATGAACAAACAAATGAATGAATATTCTTTAGGAAGCTTTCTGGGCACTTGTCGAGCTGATGAACAATAAGAAGCACAACATGAGAGGTTATGATGATGATGATGACGACAATGACGATTACGACGATGATGATAATGATGATGATGGTGGTGGTGGTAATGATGATATGTCTTTTAAGTCTTTTAATGACGACACTCATATAGAAATTGTGATGTTGATAATAGTGTTGATGTTGATTGCGTTATTAGTAATATAATAATGATGATGATGACTACGACGATGAAGAAGATGACGACGACGATTATGATTAATACGTTCAATTGAATGAAGTCTCTATGTATGTCTGTGATGTATGTATGTATGTATGTATGTATGTATGTATGTATGTATGTTAAAACCAAATCATTGACGAATGACACCAAAAGCCAAGCGTCTGACTAAATTTGATTTTATTTGCTATAACGTCACTCAACCCCGTCGGCATGTATGTATGTATGTATGTATGTATGTATGTATGTATGTGTCTGTGTTTATGTGGTTGTGTATGCGTGTTTGTGTATGTATGTGTGTTTGTTTGTATGTGTGTTTCTATGAAATGACTGTTGTTATTATTATTATTATTATTATTGTCATCATTATCAGATTTCATCTTCATCGTCATCTTCGTTA